TGTTGACTCGCCTGCCTCTGAATAGCTCCCCTTTTTCAGCTGTTCTGGCTCCTCGCTCCTGCGTGGGTCCATGGGAACCCTAGTAGTGGTCTTGCTGTCCCAGGGGCCTCCAAGGCCCTCTTCTCCCCTGCCGCCTCCAAGCAACTTCATCCAAAGGGCACAGCTGTGACTTCTGCCAGCTACTGCTCCACGTGCTCAGCAGTTCCAGCCTTAAAGCAGCTGCAGCCCAAAACACTAAGAGCAGTTTTTTCTTTCTCTCATCGTGGCTTCTCCCACCTTCATGAACTCTGTAGGTCTCTCCTCCTCGTCCCCTGAGCTCCAGCAGCCCCAGCTTGGGTGATGTTACATTTTTATAGCTGTAAATTGTGGATTTGTGGGAGAGAGTGATACTGGGGACCATTTATTCCACCGTCTTGACCGGAACTCCCTCCATCCCCTTCTCTTTTTTTTTTCCTTTTTGTCTTTTTTCGTGACCGGTAACGGGATCGCAACCCTCAGTGTCGCGCCCGTACCGTGACCGGCAATGGGATCGTAACCCTCGGTGTTGCGCCCGCACCGCACTCATCCAGTGAGCGGACTGGTCTCTATATGGGATCCGAACCCTGGGCAGGAGCACCACCGCACTCCCAAGCGCCGCCCTCTACCGAGTGCGCCACCGGGCCGGCCCCCTCCATCCCTTTCTGATGGTTTAAAATCTACTTTGACAACAGAGCTCTTGGAACATTATTAAATTAAAATTTTTACTTAAGCATTAGTAAATTATCCAAGATTTTGTATTTTCCTTCATCCTTTAAAATTTTCATTTCTTTTCCTTTTTTCTTTTTGAATGAGGAGGAGGTACTCATATATTTAGTACAATGCCTGCTTTTATCATGTTTTTAACATATTAAAAAAATGTTGATTTCTTTCCCTAGCTGCAAGTAGCATGTTCATGTTTTACTTTTCAGTTTTCACCTAAGATAGCCTGAGTTCATTTTATTTTATCAAACCTGACCACTAAAAACATGCCTTTTGCAACATGGATGGACTTGGAGGTCATTATGTTAAGTGAAGTAAGCCAGGCACAAAAAGACAAACACCACATGAGCTCACTCATAAGAGGAATCTAAGAAAAGAAAAAAATGTTGATATTATAGAGGGACAGGCAGAGAACAGAAGAGTGGTTACCAGAGACTGGAGAGGGAAAGCTGGGGGAAGGGAAAACAGGGAGAGGCTGGCCAACAGGTACAAAATTATTATTAGACAGGAGTAATAATTTCTGATATTCTTTTGCACAGTAGGGTAACTGGTTAACAATTAGGTTTTGTATATTGCATAATAGCTAGAGGAGAGGCTTTTGAACGTTTTCACCACAAAGAAATGATAAATGCATGAGGTGACTGATACATTAACTACCTTAACCCCTTCATTATATAACATATTTATGTATCAAAACATCAGACTGTACCCCATAAGTATGTACAACATGTAAGTTAAAAAGCTTTCTTCTTTATTACATGGAAACTGTAATACTGCATTAACAATATTCAAGGATGAAGTGAAACATGGTGCATACTAAATTGATATTGCACATAAAACACTTGTATAGACAAACTACAAATTTCCTCTTCCTGAAAGATATCTGGAATAGGTACCTGAGCGAGCTCTTTCTGTTCATTCACCAGCCGGCCACAGCTAGCTATCATCTGGTCCAGGGCGTACAGGCGATCTTCAAGCCCTTTAATGGCTTTCATATTCTGATTATCAAGTTTGGCAATAGTTTGACGGCATTCTGCTATAAATGGTCGAATAATCCGTGGGTCAAGCTAAATGACAAAGAAACACTTATGAATAAAATATTCAACAAATAGTTTAAAATATATTTCACGCTATTTTGGTACACAGCTTCAGAGAAAATAAAAGTGATACAGAAAGATATAGAAAAGCAAAAGTATGAGAAATCCAAAGTCAAGAACAAGATAAATACCACCCTAAACAATTAATCCCAAATACACTAGAATATATAATTGGGAACATAGTTCCAGGAATCACACATTTCAGTCACACAATTTAATCAACTCTCAATATCCCTCAGAAAGTGTTATTTGCAAGTTCTTATGAAGTACAGCAGACTTAATGACTACCATTCCTTGGTCATTAATTCTCTTACCTATCCGATTTTTCTCTAAAATATATCAACTTCTTCAGTCAAACTTACCTCTCTCCTGGAGACAGAAGATAAAACTCCTTTATTCTCAGTCTCAATCTCCTCAAGGAATTTGATTAATTAACTATTACTTTTTACTCTTTATTACTCTTCAATCTCTCCTGTTCCCAGGTCTTAATTCTATAAACATGATGGATTTCATGAATCCTAAAGAATTTTTTAACACTGCTTCCTTTCCTTTGAAAGAATATTTTATACTGGCTGCCTTTTTCTCTTCATTTTCCATAACAACTGCTTGGCCAAAGTTCACCAATGACCTCAACTCTACT